CGAAGACTCATTCAAGCAATGCAAATGCATAAACTCGAGAAGAAACAGAAGAAAGATGGGGAGTTGATGCCGTGGCCAGGAATTGAACCTGGACTTCTGCTGTCACAACGCAACGTACTAGCCTCTATACGATCTCGGATATTGAACTAACTTATGAGCTTGTTGACGTATTGACTTGTTGCCCTTCATCTCAACACAGTGCGTCGTCTATTTAGGGGTAGTTCTCCAGTTTCACAGGCAGGTATTAGAGGGGAATGGAAGCCCCTAGAATTTCGGCGCCGTCACGTCAGAGATTTCCCTCATCCCTTTGTGCGAAATGAAAATAGGGTTCGAGATGTTTAGGTCCGCGGACGCTTTGTAATAAGAACAAAAGATCATTATTGAAGGGTTCTTCGTTTATTCAGTCAGCGGACCCCTTTCTATATATGTTTGAAGGAATGTGATGGGTATTTCTCCCACGGCTTGGAAAAAATGATTGACATACATACTGGGTATATCAGAAATGAATTAAATGGTGTTGAACTGAGTCATCCTAGTGAATTGCAAGGAACGGCATGGAGCCGGTAGGAATGGGCACAGTAAATACCATGAATCTTTCAGATCCATTTTTTCAGTCACCGTTATTTTTACATACTCTCATGTTATATACACATATGTACACTTAGACGCAGTTTGGAATCCATGACCCCGAAATTATGTAAGTTCTAAATGGAAACTTTATTTGTTGTTGAGAAAGGTGTATCGATGGTAATTGGACCTTGTCATTTTTAGCGAAACTCTCGACTGGGGGAAGACAACGTCGTCATTCACATCGAATGAAATAAGAAGTGTGTGCATTTCGCAAGTGGATATGGAAAACGCGTACTATGCTCCCGAGAAGTCTGGTAGCTATGGTGGCTTCGAGGCGTTTCATCGAAGTGCCAAGGAGCAAGGACTGAAAGTGACGAGAAAGGAAGTCGGTGCTTGGCTATCCTCTCAAGATACGTATTCCATTCATAAACCAGTCAGGAAAACGTTTCCGCGAAATCGAATCATCGTGTCCCATATCGACGAACAATGGCAGATCGATCTCATGGATGTTCAAAATATATCTCGATACATTGACGGATACAGATACATTCTCGCCTGTATTGACGTTTTGTCAAAGTATGCTTGGATGATCCCTGTCAAAAACAAGACGGGGACTGAGGTTGCAAAGGCTTTCAAGAAGATTCTGAAAGAAGGCAGGAAGCCACGTAAAATCCAAAGCGACGCAGGAAAGGAATTTTTGAACCGGACATTTCAAGGCCTTCTCAAAAAGAAAGGAATAGGCTTTTTTGTTTCAAATTCGGAAAAGAAGGCTAGCATAGTCGAACGTGTTATACTGACAATCAAATCTAAAATGTGGAGATACTTTAGAGCCAGAAACACTTTTAAATATACGGATGTATTGGAAAAGTTTGCAAAATCGTACAATCACACGGTCCATTCAGCCATAAAGATGAAACCTGTTGAAGTCAAACAAGAAACTCTCAAGTTCGTATTACATAATTTATATGGTACGATGTGGCAAAAAAATATTCCAGTGAAATTTAAATTTGAAGTCGGTGATTTGGTGCGTATTCCTGTTTCCCGCGCACCGTTTCGGAAGGGGTACGTAGGGAATTGGACCGAGGAAATTTTCAGGATTACAGATTGCAGTCCTAGAACTCCTCCAACGTATAGGATAGGAGATTTGAATGCGGATTCAATTGAAGGAATCTTTTATGAGCCGGAACTTCAGAAAGTGAAACCGGATCTTGCAGGCTACTTCAAGGTTGAAACTGTCATCCGACAAAGAAAAAGAAAGGGAAAGAAAGAGTATTTTGTGAAATGGCTTGGTTATCCGGAGTCCTTCAATTCCTGGGTTTCAGAATACGAAATGAAAAAAATTCAATAAAATGTTGCCCGATTTTTTCTTTTATGCCAGTCACCAAGATGAGCTTTTACGTGACACTTCCCAGTGACAGTTCCCCATATTTTTTCCCAGAGAATACAGTTACCAGATTCAAAACGTATTTACCCGAACCCCTCGTTCTAAATGGGCTATGGGAAGTTGGACTGGTGGAGATTGTGTACCCCATTCTTGGGAAAATGTAACCGACAACATGTACTTCATCTCGGTTAAAACAGATAAAAATATTGGAACATACGAAATTCCGCACGGTTATTATTCGAGGATTGAAGATGTGATACAGCTCTTACCACACAACTACTTGAGGGGGCAAGCGAGAATCTATTAATATTATAAGCCAGAGATACGTCGAACCGTCGTGCAAATTCTAAGCGACAAAGTTATGGTCAACTTTTCTCCAGCACTTAGTCTCGGGTTTTTCTCCCTCGACATCACCACTCAGCATGGGTGCGTCATCCGTGTCATTTAGCGAATCGAGTGAATATTTGCCCGAAAATAAGTTACATGGGGGATTTTGCGGCCGATGCGGAATCTGTGAAAACGATATTTATGTATTGCGACATTATCGAAGCACAATACGTTGGCCACGTGAAGGTTCCGCTCTTGAGAACGGTGAAAACAAAAACAAAACCTGGTGAAATCATCGAAAAGACATACGAAAATCCTCATTATCTTCCCGTATCCAAAAAAGAAATTCGTACGATCGAAGTGGATTTAAGAACGGAGTCGGGAGACCCCGTACCATTTCAGCACGGGAAGTCAATGGTGAAACTTCATTTTCGTCCTACTCGTTCTCCATTTTTTACTTAGCGATATGTGTCCATACGAGAAGTATTATCTCGATCAAGTTGGAGGAGGTTTGGATGT